TCTTCTTCTTCTTCTTCTTCTTCTTCTTCTTCTTGTAGGACCGCCGCCACAACCCGCCGCCGTATCCCGCCACCACACCATACCGCCCTGCCGCCGCCGCCATCTTGTCCATCGTTTGGTAGGTCACGTGAGACGCGGTAGGTTAATAAATTAAAAAAAAAAACAACCCTTCCTCCTTCCCCCTACTCTCCTCATCTTCTTCTTCTCTTACTTCTTGTACTTCTCTCCTCCTCCGCCCCCCCCTCATCTTCCATAGTACATCCCTCCCTCCCTCCCATCGCACCATAGTCCCTCCCTCCCTCCCGTCCCGCCATAGTCCATCCCATCTCCACATCTCGCCATACTCCCTCCCTCCCTCGCCATCTCGTCATCCCTCCCTCCCATATCCACACCTCGCCATAGTATCTCGCCATCCCGCCCTCCAGACAACCCGTCCCCCCCCCAAACCAGAATTTTATTGCAGATTCAGAGTCCTCGCGCCGAGCACAGGAGGACCTCGCCTTCAAAAAAAAAACAAAAAAAATTCTGGGCTGTTTTTTTGCCCGCCCGGTTTGCCCGGGAGGCCCACCCAGCCCCCCCCGGCCGGGCGGCGTCCGTACTCAGCTTTTTTTCTCATATGGCCCTGGTAAGAACCCTTATCTCTACGCTGTGTCCAACCTCGCAATATTGACAGTATTGGGCAACTTGAAGCCCCTCGTACAGTCCATCGCTGTCACTCTCTGTCTCCCGCAGACAAAAAAGACATGCACATTGCACGCCCATAGATCGTCCTTATTCCTTTTCATTTCCTACTCAGCCCCTTCTTTTTCCTCCCTCTCTTCCCTGCTTCTCTGCTCTTCACGTACATGGTCGCCCTTCCGCTTCCTCTGCTCCTTGCCCTCTGTACCCTTCACAGATTTCTCATTCGTGAATGGAGGAGCATTTGTGAGAGAACAGATGAAACTGCTGAGGTTCAACATCCTGATGATTCTGTGAAAGTCTGACAAAACAGTCTGGCGCAGTCATGCACACAGGCATACACTACACAGACATGCACACAGGCATACACTACACAGACATCCAGACAGGCACACACTACACAGACATGCACACAGGCACACACTACACAGACATGCACACAGGCATACACTACATAGACATGCACACAGGCATACACTACACAAACATGCACAGGCATACACTACACGGGACATGCACACAGGCATACACTACACAAACATGCACAGGCATACACTACACGGACAGAGCGAGCAAGAGAGAGAGAGAGAGAGAGAGAGAGAGAGAGAGAGAGAGAGAGAGAGAGAGAGAGAGAGA